TAAATGATTCTTGGCTGTAGTATCTTTTGATTCCTTAGAAATGCTGGCTAGCAAGTTTCTAAATTTTTTCATCAATCTCATTTGTTGTTTTTACAAAAGACTATCAGAAAAAAATGTTTAAGTCTGCCTGGACACACTATATCTTACTATCTGTATATCAATGGGTCTTGAGAATATTAATTTCATAATAAATCTAATGAGGTGATGCATTCCTCATTATTTCCTGGCCTCACAAAATGCTGGGCAGCCGGATCCTGACTGCAGTTTCCATTGTTTAGAGCACTCACTGCAATCCAGGAAGGAGCAAAATTTAAATGTACAATTCTGGGGTTTTCTGCAGATTTATCAGGATTTCTGATCTTTAAGAGGTTTTCAAAATAGAACTTTAAGTGAGAAAATGCATAATTGGGTTCCATTTAACATTTAGCTAAATCCAATATGTCAACAGGGAAGTTCTCCTAAGAAATAAAATCAGGCAGTGAGTTTCCTCAACCTCCTTACTTCACATATTTTACCTGGTCCTGATAAAAAGCAAAGAATATATGCATAATGGAACAAATTGCAGGTTTTCTTCTAAGATTTAAAATAAGCCCATACCATCAACCTTCTTATATCTCGCCTTCTCACATTTTACCTGGTGCCAATAAAAAGATAAAAATATACAAAGGAACAAAATGCAAGCCAGTTAATTATAATATTTATAAACAGCTTCTAATATACTTTTTGGTTGAGCAAAAACTGAAATTATTGAAAAATTTTACATATTCCAATTATCTAGCACCATGGCATTGCATTAGTACTACAATTTTTAAATTCATCATATTGGTTTTATTTTCTATAGGGCTTTAAAGAGTAAGCATATAGGAAAATGCTAGGCACAGACTATTTTAAAACTTTTTAATGTTGACATCATGTTATCCAGAATTTTTGTGGAATTATTTTTCCCCCCTGTCTAACATATGAAGGCCAATTTTCTTATTTCTAACACAGAATTCCACCCCTATTTGACCTATTATTATTCTGACATCTATTATAATTGAGTGCTGAATCAGATTTGTCAAATATAATAAAGGGCTCCAGTTGTAAAACTTGAAAATCATTAAAATAATCACTATGTATTTGATAATATAATTTTCATCCTTTATGCTCACAATGGAAAAATATCTTCATAAATAATATTCATTTTTGTGATGATTCTTATATCAGACAGTCCAATAAATAGCAGTCTTTCATGCACTGAATTCTGTGAACCCCACACATAGTCAACGTACATACTTCTCCAAAGCTTTACAAGGATCCTACTAATTCTGAATCAGTATTCAGTCTATGATCTGAAGAGCAGGCTTCAATTCCTTGAATTAAGGAACTGAGGACAGGACAACAGTACAACATAACCACTTAAGTCACTTACCAGGATGTGGTAGGCAAATGAGAGTTCACTCAATTAATTCTCAGACTCCTCCTGTACCAAGTATTTGCTATAAAGAATCATTCAGTAAATTCTTCTGGTCTAAAAGCAAATGTACGTCTCAAGTACCATGCGAAACAAACACTACCACCCTATTCCATTCACTTTTTAAATTACCTAAAGGGAAAAAAAAAATCTCTTCAAGAGTTTTTTTTTTTTTTTTTTAAAGATGAAATCAACTAGTATACAGACAAATCAGTATAATTTACTCTTTTATGACAAGATCATAATATTTTGCAATTTATCATCTGCTACACTATTTCTGAACTATTTTCTCAAAAGCATAATAACCGCAGTTCATACCATGATGCTTCAGGCTGCACACATTTGATGATATGCCCTCAGATATGAACATTTGAATCTAGTTTAGAGTTCTTCCTTTTGGTTATTTTTCTTCCCTAGAAATGAACTCTTGCTGATAGAATTATAAAAGCCAAATATTTAAAATAAGTTTCCTAAAACGAAAATGTCTTTAAACAAAACTGTACATATAATTGACTTGTGTGTATTCTCTTCATGATTTAGGTTTTTAGTTTGATCAGGATTAAAAAATAATCAACTGATTATGCTTAAATATTGGTAAAGAGTTTAAATATACTGCTAGATTAAATAAATGTACATATATTTTTTTTCTGTGTTATAATAAAAGAATATAACCTATGCCAAATCTATCTTCAAATAAATTCCTCATAAAATTTATCCTAAGTCAAAAGATTTTTTTGTTGTTAAAAGCAACACACACACACACACACACACACACACACATATATATATATTGGGGGTGGGTGGGCGAGGTTTTTGCTATAGGGTGCATGTGCTTGCCAGAAAGACAGAGAGAGACAGAGAGACAGAAAGAGAGTAATCACCCCCTGGGGAAACGACCACACTGCAATCCCTTCTCCTCCATTCTCCTCTCAGGATCTTGGGCACACACACACACACGCCCAGCGTAAGTTTAAGCCACTGGGTCCTGGACTCAAACTGTGGTCAACTACATGGGAATCCAGCAACATAGCCATTATGCCAACTGCTGGTCCCTAAAAGGAACACATATTAACAGTATAAAAAAAGCAAAAATTTTAATTCACAACAAGAAACATCAGCTAGCATCATATTTTCTATATATCATTTCAAAGGAAGCAACAGCCTCGAAGCTCTCCAAACTATTGACATTAGACCAATATTAAACTGTAACTACTATACTAGAGAAGTAAGATTTATTGCAAAATGTCTCATCAGACAGTAGTTGTTAATTAAAAATGTTATTGCTTTTATAATTATCACTAGAGATTTCCAAACTCACTTGCTATGCTCAAATAAATGAATGGGCTTGTCTTGTTCTCTCCGTTCCTCTCATTGACAGCCTGCACGTAGTAAGCCCCAGCATCACTTGCTGTGGTTGCAAGGATCACCAGTTGATTCTCCAGTGTGATAGCTCTGTTTCAGAAAAATAGAGAACAGTGTCAAAGCCACTCTAGGTAACTTCCTGCTAGTAAGACAAAATTAATGTATTAAGCCAATTCTAAAGGAATGTCTAGAGTAAGATGTGTTCACAACATAAAAATATTTAGTCTATGCTGTTATTTACAAAACACTAGAAACATCCCGAGACTCTTGAGTGAACTATGTTACCCATCACAACAATGGACTTCTACAGGGAATAATTTTATTCATTTGTTTTAAGGTTTTTGCCATAGGGCATGTGTAATTGCCAGAGAGAGACAGAGAGACAGAGAGACACAGCAAAAAAGTGAAAAATCACCACCACCCTAGGGGGGATGGCCACACCACAGTCCCTTTTCCTCCATTCTCCTACTGTGTTTTTGGGCATGCACTCATACGTGGTCGGCATGATTTTCAAGTTGCTAGGTCCTGGACTCTAACTGTAGTCAGTCATGTGGGAGTCCAGTCCTTAACCACTATACCACCTGCTATTTATTCCCTTTTTTGGATGTTTTTAAATCATAGATGGAGCCTTCTATATTCAGATAATTTAAGATTCAGGCAACATACAAAATGAGTAACTACTCATGAGGAATTTTAGTATAATAATAACGTTTTCTTCCTGCTACCTTTTAGAGAGCTTTTTCAAAAATTCTTGATTTTCACATATTATAAAAAATTATCTTAAGAAGTTACTGCTTATTCAGGGTTCCCATAGGAAATATTATAGTTTGAGGTCTCTATAACTGACTTACTTCATGTCTCATTTAAGAAAATTTCCCTATTAGGAAGTTTTCAATTTTTAGTCTCATAAAAATATTTCAAAAGAATTTTACTATAATTATTTATGACTCCTTTATAGATTCTTTTATGGAACCATAGAAATCATTCCATTTTATTTTAGTATATGTTATACTGGCACCTAAAATTAGATATGAATATTTACTGCACATGAAGTTACACATTTAATGGTACAATTTAAAAACCGAATATATAACTTTTTCTTTAGCATCTGATTTTTTACCATAGTAATTTCAAATATGCCAACTATTTCTCAGAATTATTCTATTAAAATGCCCTTATTTCTCTAAGTTATTTATGACATTGTTTCAAGGGTACTGAAAACTTACAAAAAATTAAGTCTGTAATTTTTAAGCTTATTTTTTCTTTTGATTTAATTTCTATACATTTTTAGGTTAAAATTTATTAAGAAAAGCTTATCTGTTTTCAAAAAGACACCACAAAAATGCTTAATATTTAGTGACCTTTAGATGAATAAGGATCTCTTTCTCAGAAACTATTCTTTATTTCTATCTAAATCTTTCTGAACAGAGTATTTCTACAAAATAAACTACTTTTAAGTGAAAAATATCTAAAACATTCATCTTAAGTTTAAATTCTGATGATTGCTGTCATGCTTAAGAAAACTTTTAAAGACAGTGATGCAGGTATCAAACCTCCACTCTCTACATCTTCTCTTCTAGCTGACTGTGATTTTGTTGTGGTTTCCATGCCACCCTCCAGACAGCCATGCAATGTGAAAGAGCAGGCCCCATGTTCAGCACAGGGTTTTCATCTCAATCACTTTGTTGCAGGTGTTCATAGGGGCAATTTTACAGCCCTGAGGGTAACAACTTTAGCATGAAGCTGATAACACTGGTGGCAGGACAGAGAGAAGTCCTTGAGAATTTGATGGAGCCAATGAACCAACCATCCTGAAGCCTGTCCTCTATTTGGACTTCCTAGTTTATGAGATAGCATACTTCATTCATATTTAAACTTGTTTAAGTTAGGTTTCCTGTCACTCGAAGTCAAAAGTACACTGAGGGGCAGCTCTGTAGTCTAGTAGGTAAAGAAAGCATATGTTGGAGTCCTGGTCTCAGAAAATTGAGAAACACATGAAATGTGTGTGTGTGTGTGAGTGCCCAAAATCCCGACAAGATGGAGAAATAAAGAAGGAACTGCAGCAAGATCACATATTGGGGGATGTGTTCTCTCTCTCTCTCTCTCTCTCTCTCTCTATCTTTCTGTGTCTCTTGCTCTGGCTACATGTCTCCTCTAGGAATTGAAAAAAAAAACATGCTAATTCAGATTAAAATGACACATGCAATAGCACCCATTTTGGATTTTTCTAAGAATTTGTGTTCTTCTGTGCATGGAAAAAAAAAACTATGTATGTATATATAAATGTGAATAATAATTAGGCTCTGAGTGGCAAGATTACAACTGATTTTCTTTTGACTTCTGTGTTTTAAAATATTTCCAAATTTTTCTAGAATAAACAAGCGTTACTTTTGTTATTAGAAGAACAATGTTCAAAATGCACACAAGAACATGCTAAGCAGTTACAGTAGCAAAGTTTAATGCTTTTTCCATAATATGAACTTGGCTTTATTACCTGAAAATTCCAAGGTACTCCTTTAACACTTACATTGACTTTATAGGAAAACGACAACATTTAATAGTAGAGATTTTTCTCCATTTTAACTTTAGTGAAATAAATATAAGTATAGTTTTATACAAACTTATTTTCTTAGTCTTCTCCCATCTTAAATCTACATTTAAAAATTAAACTCCAGGGACCAGCAGGTGGTGTAGAGGTTAAGGTGCTAGACTCCCATATGACCTACTGTGGTTCAAGTCCTGGACCTGGTGGCTTGAAAATCATGCCAGCACATGTACATGTGTGCCCAAAATCTTGAGAGGAGAGTGGAGGAGAAAAGACTGTGGTGTGGCCGTCCCCCCGGGTGAGGGGGTGATCGTTTCTCACTTTTCTCTCTGTGTGTCTTTCTATCTCTATGACAAGTACATGCACACTATAGAAAAAATCTCTCTCTTAAAAAAATAAACTCTGGGGCCAGCAAGAGGCATGCACTGGACTCCCACATGGGTGACTGCGGTTTGAATCTTAGACCTGAAGGCTTACTTTCTCACTTTCTCTCTCTGTCTCTCTCTGCTGAGTGCATGTGCTCTATACCAAATTTAAAAATAATAATAATCAATAAAATGAAATCTATTTAAAAAATTAACTCCATAATTCTAGCTACTAATTACATTGGATACTAATAAAAAATAATAGGGGGGAAAAGCCTAGTCCAATGGATGAACGAAACTACAGTTCAGAAAAGTATAATGCTGGCATCATAAGGAATAAGTTAAAAGATCCCTTAGGTACTACCCAAAGTAACAAAAAGAATTTTCATGAGAGAAAACAATCTACTGTCCTTAACAGCTGAGATTCACTAATGAAATTCTGCAATTAAAGAAATGGTAACTATTTTCAATGGATACTTTCTAAGTGCTTCTGCTCATTCTTCACCACTTTCATGAGCTATCAGGCAAAGTTATAATTTTCTATTTTAGAAAAAGTGAAACCTGAGGCAAAGAGAAACTACCGTGGGTCTTTGGCCACAACATTCATCAAAAATAACTGGGTGAAATAGCCCTAGAAGTGGGTGCCTAGATTCACATTTTGAAGTGTGAGGAAAGGAAGGGTCACCTAACTGGTAGATCTACTGTTGAGCTTCCTGATGCGCTTACCAATGCAAATGTTGTGTTCCTCATGCTATAACACTTTAACAGCTGATCACCTTTTAGGGATGCGTTTTTGACAGAGAATCTCTGACGCACTGGATTTTAATGACTCTGACAGAGAATCTCTGACGCACTGGATTTTAAGTTTTTAATTTGCTAGAGGGCTGGTGTGCTAGGGCCAGGTGAGGAGGAGAAAGTTAGAAAGCACCCCGTAACGGGGGAGATCATGCCACGATCTTTTCCCCCTTATTTCTCCTCCATTCAGGAGTTTGGGCAAGCACGCACACATGCCTGGTGTGTTTCTCAAGTCACCAGGTCCAGCACTTCAGCTGTGCAGTTGGCCATGTGGGTTCCAGCTGTCTTAAAAACCACACCACCTGCTGTCCAGATGCATTGGATTTATGTTTTGTGAAAACAGCTCAGAGTGCACTCTAGTGTTTGAAAACAGGAAGAAAAAGTAAAAGTATTTATTTGCCCAGATCACCATGTGAACAGAACTAAATAACTTCATTCACTATTCATTCAGAAACTGAGTCTCCAGGCCTGGCTCAAAGTAGAAGACACACTAACCTAGACCAAGTGCACAATGTTCATGTCTAATGGCATTTAGATTGGGTGTATTTATAAACTACGTACAAAGTAACAGAAAAGACTTTAACAACTTTCATGTGTTTATGAACCCAAAAGGAGCAAAGAAGTATCTAATTTTTTTCAAGATGTGGCTCAAAGCTTGTATCATCACCCATCCTTTGGCTCCCATGAAAAAGTCAAATCATTTCAGGTTATCAATATTTTGATATTTATTAATCAAAATAAGTATACTTATTTATTAAATGAAAAATTTATTAAATTTATATGTGTTAATTTATTACCTTTTAAAAAACATCAAGTTTTTCATGAGAGAAAGAGACAGACAGATGAGGACCCTCAATCTTTCCCCCAGTCTTTTCCAGTCAGTCAAAATCACGGACACACATTTGTGCTGGCATGTATAGGCTAACCAGGGAACCAAGCCTAGATCTTCTATATGGCTTCCAGCACTATAGAACACTGAGCTACCATGGCTTGGCATGGCTTTGACACTTTTAAAACAAATTGGATGGTAATATGCATGTTGATTTATACTTTATGAAAAAAATCCAGTTAAGTGTTCATTAAAATAAGTTTACCCATAAAATATAAAAGCATAATTTGAGAGTATAGTTTTACCACTGCAAACGTTAAAATAGCAGTTAGCTAGTTTTAATTGATATTCAAGTACATTTTTTAAAAAAATTAGAGTGTAGGAAAATGTAGAACATTACTTTTTAAACCTTTAAGAAACATTTAAAATATTATCCATTTTAATTAAACAACTTTTTAATGGGTTGGTTCTAAAGCTTAGTGTTCTCAGTATAATCTGGATGTCAAGTCTCACAGTTTAATAGCGTGGTCAAGGGCACACACCAAAATTGATGAAC